ACTCGCTCTCCGATGGAGTGAAGGCCTCCTCCAGATTCTTCCACTTATCTCTATTTGTTGCTACAAATTTCCAGTTTTTTCCCGCTATCCCTTTTATATCACTTTCCCAAGTTTTCGGTGGGCATCCTCCTTTCTTCATTTACTTGTGTATATTTAAACAAAAATCCATTGGTTGGAACGCGCAGTCATTTAAATGATAACACGTTTAACCACAAAGATAATCGTATCATATATATGGCACAAAAATATAAAAAATTTTTTAACCAAACCATTAATAATATCTTAAATTAAAGTGAAAAATTTACAACTTTTTTCATTTCTTTACAACTTTTCCTTTCACGGCATTAGCATTGTTAACTCGGATGAAAGCGCCATTGTTTTATTTCAATTATTTTCCTTAGAATTTTTATAAAAAGCTATGATGGAACGGACGGAATGGTTATCAAAAAAACCAGTTTCGGTAAATATTTTTTGTATATATTTTAATCAAGTTTTGAATAATAGCATAGGACAAGACTATTTATAGCAATAATAAAAAGGCTTTATACGTATAATATGACTAAGAAACGTGGATTAATTGAATAAAGGGGACTAAACTTCTTCAGTTCACAGGTCAGGGTGTTTTTGGATGGTATGTATAAAGATCACGTACTAATTATAAAACTTATGAAGTGAAAAAAGTTAACATTGTCGAGACTATATAATAAATGTTCTGTCAGTAGGATAATATTAATTACATGTAAATTAATTATGGTTTTTTAAAAAAACAAACACTCTTTTAGGTTCTGACTTATGGTGTGTCGTTACTTATTTATATGGAAGAGATTCTTGCTCCATAAGCTGAGCAGATTTTGATGAAATTATACATTAATTATAACTTTGCTAACTACATCGAGTCAGTTAACTAACATTAATGAACGAGTAATTAATGCTGTATCTATTCAGTACAAAATCGGGATTTGGATAATAATTAAAACCACAAAATATGATTTACGTTTATTCGCCATGACGACATTCAATGACAATATACATCGTATTAGTACAGCAACGATGACAACGGTGAGCGACATATCAATAATGTAATTAACAAATTCAACTCATTATTCAATCATTAATAAATGAAATTAATATTTTAACATGAATATGTATGCTTTAATATACAATACTCACTCTAAATTACTCAAAACAGGGTTTTGGGAATATTCGTGATGAAATACATTTGGAAAAGCTTTGGCCGAATTTAATACTACAACCAGTACAGTGTTTCTGTTTTGAGTCTTATTCAATTTCACATACATGTGAAATATATGAATTTACTACGCGGTATGGTATTTTACACTTGCAGCACGCTTGCACTGTCTACATTACCCTTTTTCCTTTTTATCTTCTATAATATGGGTACATGTATGAGCAATATTTCGTTCCTAGAAAATACAAGCAAATAATAGTCGCCCAAACGTCATCATCATTTAAATGAATACATGTATCACAGAGTAATTTGATAGTGCTAGGAATTGACAATAAACACCAAAGGGACAATCACAACAAATTATCGGATACAAAAAATTGAGCTGAGTTGCCATAGTATATAAATAGAAGTTGAATTTTCAATTGTCGGAAAATGTTGGTATCTCCTCACAGTAGACACTGTCAGTGTAACAGTAATTACATCTTTATAACACGTACAATATACTCCAAATATATGTCCAACGACATCATATATACGACCTTATTCAAAGACACAAGCACAGTTTAAGAATGTTTTGTGACGATTTACTACTTGGAAAACCACAAGTATGTTAAAGATAAAACATTGAAATTATGTCGTAAACGGTTAGTTCGATCATATGGCATGTGTTTTATATCTCGCAGACAGGTCTAAATAAAAGACATCAATTTCAATATAATATACACTTAATTTCCTTAACAACCTTCCCATAACTGTTCTACATCGCAAAATACAACCATTATACTTTATTGAATTGAAGGATTGAATTTAACAGGCCAAAGACAATTCAAAAGAAATTATAATAAAACTATCCACTAAAAACCACTCAGCTCTATACGAATGAAAAATATAGTATTTATACAACATTTATTAATTTATTAAACTACCTATATTTAGTCTAAACGAAATATAAGAATTTGGCACATTTCACTTAGTTTATGTATGTCCTGTCTTACATCTTTACAAAGTGCAATAAAAAATAAAGTTGTACAAGGTTCAATAGACCTGACATTCCTTTCAAGGAATTGGTAAGAAAATAAAACAAATTTTGTAGTGAAAATCAGTCGACTCGAAATTTCTATTGTGTCTCTGGTCTATGTGAAACTAAAGCTCCATTCTACTACAATATAAATAAATTAATTGCTCTAGTTCTTACGGCTGTAAGGCTAACAATAATACTTGTAAGCATAATTGAAAAACAATTGAACTCTCAATTACTAACTAAAAAGCTCGAGTTATAGATGTGTCTGACAGAAGGAAATATATTGGTTAAAACAGTATATATAATATTATTGTTAGTGTGTAAGTGACAACCATCATAGTACATACCCGATAGACATAACCCTTCATATAAACAGAGTACATTAAAGCTTCATCCACAAAGCTCTTAATTTTCTTGGAACAAAGCTCTTTATTAAAAGAAAAGGTTTTATGCTCCTTGTTTATCGTTTACGGCAAATTGAAAGTAATGGTATTAGACTAATATGCCATTCCGTACTGAGCGTAACACACCAACGGATTAAGCTGGGAAAGGCGATTGGCTCAAAGAGTTCGAAGTGAATTAATGATGCTTATACAGGTAATCTTCTTAGACGTTCTCTTTTTCGTATTTTAAAAGGTGTTGCTGCTCCACTGTAATGTGTATGGTATTAGGATAGCTTAATGCAATTCCAACGTATTATTTTAATGGTAGATTCAGTTTTTATATGTTTAAGATTTAGACCTTTTTTTTTGACCCAGAGTTTTAACCTTTATTATATTATCACCTCATATTTTATCAAGATACTATGGACCACTAAGCTAATTATATACTTTTAACTCGTACTAAAGTTTTCGTTAATTTATACATTAAACTTCATGCATAAAAAATATCTTTAGCGGCTTTACTCTGGGGGGATTCGCGCTTCTAAAATTTCCATCTAGCGTGTGATTTTTTGTTTTCGCACGTGAAATTAAAAAATTTCCGTGTAATGCGAGAAACATTTTCTGGTGCAAAGTTTCAGGAAAAATTAAATGTTCGCAAGCTATTCCCAAATCCATTTAGAAATGAGTCCGGCAACGCAAACAGAGGAACTCACCAATTTGTATTAAAGTGCTATTAAGGTTATTCTTTAGAGACTTAAATTTTATATTTATTACCATTTTTATTTCAGAGGAAACCTATTAAGAAGTAAAAGTAATGCTAAGATAACATAATTATTATATTTAACTGGAACTAAAGATACCATAAGTCTGGCTCAGAGACATTCCTACTACTTTTTTGATGTTTTCTCCTCTTTCAACCTCTGTCTATAAAAACAATGATTTTCAGATAATCGAATGCGTGTCGGTGTGTCATAGGCACGCCACGTAATGTATTTGAGTCAAATACCTTTTATAATAAACATATTTATATTAAAAATAAAATAATTCAGAACTGATTGATCGAAAATTTACAAGTCAGGTAAACTAGTCTTACATAAACTAAGTGATTTTTAGATTCATAATAAAATAATAATAGATTTAATCTACTCTTATCTATAGATATAGATTAAGGAAATCCTAGGCCATTAAAATATTTCAAGACTGAAAATTACTCAAACAAAATTCGTTGCAAAACGTTATAATAGGTATTTATATATTTTATATTATATTATTACTATATTACATTAAATTTTAATTTTGACATTTATATTTTCATAACATATGTATATTAAATAAGTGTTATAAAACATTGAAATTCAGTGCTTCCTATAATTATAATTTAAATATATTACTTATTCCATCCGTAAGTATAAACAAAAACCTAAGAGATGGCTTGATTGAAACAGTGAGTAAAGGCAAGAATTAATTAAAAATAAATGCAAATATAAAAAATACACTTGTACATAATAACAATTGTATAATGAATTAATTAAACGTGTAATGTTACATACAAAAGCATGATTGTCCTTAAATATTTTTTTGGTAGTCAAATTCAATATGTACCTTTTACAAGAATGTCGACTTTGCGTGAAGGTGGCAAGGTCACTATCATTATTTATTAACACCATAGACTGAAGAGGTATGTCGTAAAAATTCAATTCGAACTGTAACCTTTTTATTTATATATATAAAACAATCACATGACGGTGGAATGATTAGATTTTTTTTGCCCTTAAAAGTCTTTAAAAAAATTAGTAAAATAATAATACATTTGTATATCGAATCGTTTCCGTAAATCGGTAATACTGCGTACCAAGTCAAAAATAAAAAAAGCACATTACCAGATTTAGCGTTTACTAGAACCAATTTAAGTCAGTCACAGCCATTTTGTTTATCGCCGAACGTTCACCTATCAACATTACAAATCGTCCATTTTCCTATTTCACCAAATTATATTTCTTTACAACATTTGATGCAGTCTTTTTTGCTAATATTTTTTGATATCAGAAACACCGATTACCAGATAAAAAGCAACGTAATTGTGTGCATATCAATAATGTTGGAAAAATTAACATAATGTATGTACAATTAAAATTATTAAAATAGAATACTCGATGACTATTAACTGAATTTTGTCTATAAATATTCGAGTTAATTCCCTCATATTTTATATTACTTAACTAAATAATTTATTAAAAAAGATTCGTATATTTCATTATTGATATGCACAATCGGATGGAATATTTTATTTAACCATAGTATAATAATAAAATGTATTCGAGCAATCAGCTTTGGGTGATTATTATTGTACTATGGTACCTTAACTTACTTTATACAATACCGTCACTCCATATATCGACCACGTCGATTATTTATCACTCAAGGCACTGTATTTAGATAACGTATGCACTAACATACTGGCAACTACTGTGGCTGCTGTGAATGAGCTGGGATTCGAACCTGCAATAAATACATATTTCAAGAAATTAATATAACTAAAAACTGTGTCAAATTTCAATAAACTTTTAAAAAAATAAGTATAGTAGTAGGCTAGTTTATGTAATCTTTCAGTATGTTCCTGGGAGCTAAAATTTATTTATGTTCCGTAAGAGAGCAGTGTTGGCAGGGTTTGAGCGTGTCTCTTAAGCTGCTGAATCACGGCTCGTACGGTACAGAAAAATCATGAGAAAACCGGCAAATCTTAGGCTGCTGCCTCGAATTTTGCGGGCAGCGTGGCGGCGGCGGCGGCGGCGCGGGAGCGGCAGGATCTTATGCGTAAAATCAAATGGACCGGTTCTCGAAAACAGCGGCGTGGCAGCGGCGCGAGGGCGGGTAACGAGCGGTGCAATCCAGTCAAGCGGTGACCGCTCGCGTTGCGCGTCTTCATTGTAGTATAGTGCTGTACATATTTTTTATGACGTAACAAAATGTCCTCGGACGTGCAAGAGCAAATTATTTCGGCAATCTTTGAGAGGAGACCCATATAACAGCAAAGATGTTAACCATAAAAATAGAAGAATAATTAACCAATTATGGGAAGAAATAAAAAACGAACTGAATATTGAAGGTAAATATAAAAATGATTTATTATGTCAAATACTATTTATATATATTTATTATGTTTTACAAATTAATTAGTAACAAATGTGATTATTTACAAAATATTTTTTGAATTTTTCACGTAAGTATATATTGTGCTTGTCAAGACATTTCGTTCGCGAATAAAAACAAATATCTCGACAACACAACCCTACACCGCTATAGTGCCGCGCGATCTGCCCGCTGGTTTGGAGAACAGGGGGCAAAATTAGGAGGCTGACCCTAAAATGTGTCAGGCCGAGCAGGCTAATCACCTATTTGTATGTTAATAATTAAAAAAATATCACAAAACAGATACAAAAATCTAAAGCCAAGGGCTAGGGGTTGTAGAGTGTTTTATTTAATTATTATTGGGGTTAGTAGGCAGAAGCCTATTGTTTTTAAACCCAGGGTACAGCGGTTTGCTGTCCTTATAAAAAAAAAAAAAAAAAAAAAAAAAAAAAAAAAAAAAAAAAAAAAAAAAGAAAAAAAAAAAAAAAAAAAAAAAAAAAAAAAAAAAAAAAGAAAAAAAAAAAAGGGGGGAAAAAAAAGAAAAAAAAAGGGAAAGGAAAAAAAAAAAAAAAAAAAAAAAAAAAAAAAAAAAAAAAGAAAAAAAAAAAAAAAAAAAAAAAAAAAAAAAAAAAAAAAAAAAAAAAAAAAAAAAAAAAAAAAAAAAAAAAAAAAAGAAAAAAAAGAAAAAAAGAAAAAAGGAAAAAAAAAAGAAAAAAGAGAAAGAAAAAAAAGAAAAAAAAAAAAAAAAAAAAAAAAAAAAAAAAAAAAAAGAAAAAAGAAAAAAAAAAAAAAATTACCCCCCCTCCCCTACAGCGGTTTGCTGTCCTTATCCTCCCACTTTCATTACCAAGACTTCCGAGTTACAGGACATTTGCATGAAATACTATGCTTGAGATGCGGTAATATATTTGTTCATACACAATGTACAATACTAAAGAAATAAGACAACAAAAATCACGGATGATAAATGGACGCTGAAATTACCGTGGACATGATAAATAGGAGAATCGTCCCATGCCCCCCACAAGGTCGGGGCTAAGAGTATAACTTATTTGCGAAACTCGCTGATTTTATTAGAATACTTAATCAGGTTTCTGAGAATGAGAATTTCTCAGCTTATTTCATTTCAGTTGTTGAAATCAGTTAATTTGGTTATAGTGTCGTTTATTTGTTTGTATTTCTCTACGCTCAACACTATGCTACGAACAAAGTTTCAAATGTTTTTGTCAACTATCATATAATCTACATATATATTTATTTATTAAAGTTTACCACATCATACATTGTACTAAATCTACGGCATATTTTATCTAAAATGTATGACAATTTAAGAAAACATAAGTGTTACAAAAAAAAATTAAAAATTCAATAAAAATATATACAAGATAAAATAAGCATATAATAACAATACCAGAAATTTTTGTTAAGTTGAAAAAAAAATCAGCAAAACAGCGAATTAGGTTCGGGATAGGCACTTAACAATGCTTTCTCTAAAACTGATCAGCCCACTACCGAATATATTCAGCTCTGGATAAGTACCTACTGTTTATCCGTTAAAATCGCGAAGAATTCGAAAGAGAGGTGCCTGAACTCCTAGGTTGGTTTTTGCAGAAGGAATTTTGAAAATTTTGCTGATTTTAGACCTAGGGAATGAGTAAGGGACGACAATTTTTATATCCTGTAAGAGGTCACTGCTCTGTATTTGATTATTGAGCAATTTATACGAGAAGGTAACACCGGCTGAAGATCTCCGATCGTACAGTGATATCATATTAAATTTCTTAAGTCGATGTCTTTGTGAAAATCCTCTGCTAATGAAAGCTAGGTGTCGAGTAAAAGATCTTATTATATATATATTTAAGAAAACTATGCCGCGTTGACCGTACATGGCGGTATTGAAAACAGGTATGACTCATATTTACTTACATGAAAAAATCTACATACAAAGAATATTCTCAATCTCATTATTTTTCAGAGTATAGTAAAGTTATCAACTCCACAGCGACAGGCTGGAGATGACAGTCGATTAAAATCTCCATACTTCCATTATTTAATATAGTCCTAGTACATGTGTTGCGTATTTTAACCCGTAGTATAAAAACAAAGGGTGTAAATAAAAAAATCTTCATAATTTTAAAAATTGCCTCGATAACGGGTGAATTTTTTTGTTATAATTGTCTTGAAATAAATGGTATGTGGAAAATAATAAATATCCATATGGGCCTCTTTAACCTGCCTGCAATCGTTAGGAATCGTGGATTTTGCCGTACGTATTTGAATTGTCATTCATACCTGATGCAGTAAACATAGATAGATGTGGTGATCGAGCCACTGCGAGGGTCAGATTGGTTGATCGCGTAAACGAGGGCCGTGTGGGCTGCGTAGCCTCACACGTGAGACTTATTGCGGCCCTCACGGTGGTCACTCGAAAGCGAAGTGGCCTCCAACTAGATCGTAGTCCGTAGTCATCCGCCGTTGACACTTCGGTGTGGTCGTTCATTGACATCCATTGCTCCATCTTAGGGAATTATACATTCGCTTCTATAACTTATTCATCATAATTTCAAAAAGTAATAAATATTTTCTTATATAATACTAGAATATTTATACAGTGTTGGCCTAGTGGCTTCAGCTTGCGATTTTCATCCCTGACGGGGATCAAACCTACGATAGGTTTGATCCCCGTCTGTACACCAATGGGCTTTCTTTCTATGTGCGCATTTAACATTCACTCGAACGGTGAAGGAAATCATCGTGAGGAAACCGACTTGTCGACGGCGTGTGTCAGGCACTGGAGGCTGATCACCTACTTGCCTATTAGATTGGCAAATGATCATGAAACAAATTCAGAATTCTGAGGCCCAGACCTAAAGAGGTTGTAGCGCCACTGATTTATTTTAATATTACATGTATTACTAGTAATTAAGTTTTTTTAAAACGAGTAGAAGGGTCACTAAACAATAAGTGTCAAAAGCCGCCTAAGGACCAAGAGCAAGGGGCTTGCATTTCCGGCCTCTGTGTAATTTTCAGAAGGCTTCAAAGTGGTATCGGCCCGAAAATACGTGCAAGCTTGTTATATGTAAAAATGGTAGTGTGCGCCAAAGAGGTTGCATATAAGCGCTCCGTAGACAAAAGATGGAAAGAGTTGCCAAATTTAATTGTTTTCCGATAAATTATTACATATTAAATATTAAAATTTGTATATTTTTTATACTTGCAACATTGAAGTTACCTGGAATTTTGTGTTGAAATATAACTCACCTCGGGTAACATTTACATAGCATTTTTACAACAGTTATATTCAGATTCATTATTAAAAACTAAAATACTTTCAAAAGCAAGAAGCTAGGCAAATGTCTTACCTTCTCTGGCCTTCCATCGATATACCAAATAATGTTTGCTGGAGGCATAGCTGGTCCTGTCGAGCAATTCAGAAGTACATCCTCTCCAACTTGCACGCTCCCTGGTAGCCCCGATATCACTGGGTCTTCTTTTAACGTCACTAAAAGATAATTTAATTTAAATCGACCATAATATTAACATGTCACATTTTGGTCAAAAATACTAAAAGTACATTTTGTATTAGAAGACATTAATAGCACAGAGTTTTGATAACTCATAATAATAATATATCAACTGAGTTGCAAAAGGCAAAAAGTTGAACAATGCTGAACTTTATTTTTTTCTATATCTGTTTATCTGCTGAATCCTTTTCGGAAAAACCCAACTAAATATCAGTATAATTATTCTAATTAGAAAATAAAAAATATCGAGAAAGAATAGTGTATGCGGAAACGCAAAATGAGCGTAATTTAGAGCGGGTCAGTAAACGAGAAAAGAATCAGGGGACTAGACAAGATTATTGTGAGAAATAAAACAGTATTTTATAACCGGGGTTTGTAGCCATTGTTTGTTGTGTACATTACTGAATTAGGTCTAATTATTACTGCTAAAGAAACTACGCGTAATAAGGCTTAACACAGGCCACAAAAACTTCTAGTAGTAGTATTTTTTTACTAGTATACGAGAGGCCCAAAAAGGGCAGTCATCGCACCCCATAGACACCCGTTTAAGTGGGTGCGATGGTGGCTTTAGTATTACGAATATAGTAAGTAATAATACACGTACCAGCCACCGTTAAATATTTTGTCTGATTCACAACTTCAAACCTAGGCCCTTCTGTCGATACTTCACATGTGAATGATATCCTGGTGTTAAACCGCTTCGGCAGAGCCACACTTATTGAGCACTTGTTCTCGTCACACGTACCCCTGGTAACGCCACCGGTTGTGTTAAAGGTTCTTGTTGAAGGCTGAAGAATGAAGACAGTTAAATATTGTTTTCACATATTGAAATTAATGAGAATAAAAGAAAATGCTGTTCCACATTGTTTTGCCGGTAAATATTTAAAATAATTAATCCGTTGCTAAATTCTGTCAAGAAGCGAATCTTAACTCTATCTTTTATATTCAACAGGCATCATTAGAGACGGATGGATGGAACGGGCTTTGGTATGTTACTCGTGTGGACGTGTTAGGCCCGTCTCACTTCCCTCGGACAAGCAAAAAAGCTGGCGCTGCCACAGAGCAGGCGGAAAATAATAAACGGCCCAAAAATAAGTATTTCGTCCAACTTTCGTTTTGGAATAGAGACTCTTGGGCCGTGGCGTTCAAGTGCAGGCAGTAATTAAAGATTTAAGATGGCCACTGGCAGATAGTACCGTTGACCCCAGAGCTGGTGCTTTCCTCGCTCAACGAATAAGTATTGCAATACAGCGAAGAAAGCTGCCAGCGTTAAAGGTACAATGCCACAGGGACCAACATTTTAAAATTTGTTTTAATTTTCTATATATCAATTTTCAATAATTATTATTATTTTTTAGATTCTAATCAAATTGGATGAAATTTATTGTATGGTAAAAATGTTGTTATTTAATGAAGTTTCCTTATCATATAAATTATCGTATAACCATGCGTTAAATATTTTTGCTGTAGGTATATATTAAAATTACAGCCAAAAATCAAGTTTTGCATTCATTGTATGGTGTCCCAATAAAAAAGCGTACATATCAGCAAACATACAATAAGCCATGAGTACGATAGTTAGGATAACTTTATCAGACAGATTCACTCTCTCGATGTGAAAATCGATAATTTCCTTGAACAAAGGGGTAGAAAAAAAATTCGTTTGAAAATGGCTCGGCTCACTAGTTATGCTATAACTGAATTTTCAGTTTCATTGGCGTTGCACGGGAAAAGTGTGATAAAATATTCTGTTCGCGGCATAAATTGAGGGAAAATGAATTTATAATTTATTGGACTATGTTATTGACTAGCTTGCTAATACGGCTGTTGGCGGTGATTTTGCCTGGGTCTTGTTTTATTCTGGATTCTCTATTAACACTAAAACTTCTCAAGCGTACAGAGAAATAATTATTTTTGTAACAATCTTATAAATAGGACAGATTTTTAATGAATAATAGTCGCTTATAATCTCGTCCAAGACGGTGTATCGTAATCCTCAATGCAACATGGGCAAAACACGTTTCTGCTTCTGTTACAACATGTAATTCATTTTATAATTTCAACGTCAGGCGCACATCAAAAATGCATTGGGTCCCGCCAGGGGCTGGGGTCTGAACACGCGCCAGGTTGAAAACTGCATATAATGTTAATGCTAATATTTTTACTGATATTATTTTTTGTTTTCCTACTAAGTATTATTACATTCCTTTTCTTTCTTTTTTTGCGACTGAGGCGGAAACTAGCTGATGTGGTCTCTGGCAGAACGACCAGTTCTGTGGAACATTCTGCTAAACAGTATAATGCTGAGCCAGGGCCAATTACATCCACAGCACACACGCATTGCACACTTGAAACGAACCGAATGGGAAAGCGATTTTTTGAAGATATACTTCTTTAGGCTTTTATGAAAAATTTATGAGAGTGAAATTTTACGATGCGCGCGCACCGTGACACAAAATTAACAGAATGAAGTTGCCCACTAACGAATTCTTTTTAAACCAGCCGCGCGCCGAGCCTGCACGAGCGAGATGGGAATAAGACAATCTACAACTAAAAAGAAATAGAATATGCGTGAAGTTAGCAGCTATGCGAAGAATTTTGAATGGCCATAATGACTTTTGTAGTACCTTTTAAACAAATAAAGGAGATTTAATGATTTTTTCAAAGAAATTTAGCAATGCTTTTTCACAAGGTCTCAAGGATCCAGCTAAAAAAAAAAAAAAAAGTTGTCCAACTAGTGACACCAATGGGTCACTTTTGTAAATAGTACCTATAATTTAATTGATAACAAAATAAAGGAGAAGACTTTTAATGTTTATTCTTTATTTTATTTCAAAAGACCAATTTAGCAATAAAAAAAAAAAAAAAAAAAAAAAAAAAAAAAAAAAAAAAAAATTAAAAACTAAAAAAAAAAAATAAAAAAAAAAAAAAAAAAAAAAAAAAAAAAAAAAAAAACAACAAACCTAACCAAAAAAAAAAAAAAAAAAAAAAAAAAAAAAAAAAAAAAAAGAAAAATGGACGGAAGAAGAATTAAAAAAGAAAAAAAAAAAAAAAAAAAAAAACAAAAAAAAAAAAAAATAAAAAAAAAAAACCAAAAAAAAAAAAAAAAGGAGGGGACGACCCCCAACACTAAGCCGGACCCAAAAAAAACCCAAAAACCCCAAAAAAACCCCAAAACCCACCCAAAAAAAAAAGAAAAGAAAAACGGAAGCCCACCCCCCGCCACCCCGGAACGAGAAACACGAACACCACAC